GAGGCCAGCGTGGCCTACGAAACACTATCTCAAGCAAACAAATGAGAAGTTCTATAAGCAATATCATTTGACAGATAATATAGACTCAACCATTTCCTTAGTAAGTAAGCTTTTTATCACAGAAAAATTTAGAACAGTAGAAAGAAATATAATGCCCCATTACTAGGTGCTAGTCAAACCTATAGAAAAAACACAACACCTAGGTGTTGGTGGCACAAGCCTTTAATCCCACCATGTGGGAGGTAGAGGCAAGCAGATCCCTGTGAGTTCAAGGCCAGCCTGGTCTAGATAGTGAGTTCCAGGCCTACTGGAACTACAAGGAGAACCTGTCTCAAAAAAACACAAAACAGGGGTTGGAGAGATAGCTCAGCGGTTAAGAACACTGGTTGTTCTTGCAGAAGACCTGGGTTCGAATCCCAGCACCAACATGGCAGCTAACAATTGTCCATAACTCCAGTCCCAGGGTATCTGACAACCTCTCCTGACCTCTAAGGGCACTGCACGACATGGGTGCACTTACCTACATGCAGGCAATACACGCATACACAAAAAAGTAAAAGTAAAAAAAAACCAACAAAACAGTAACAACAAAATACCTGAACTAGTGCATAGAAAATCTTGAATATCTGTTTTTGGATAAGGACAGACTGGTCAGACTGATCAGAAAGCAGCTGGATAAATCGATCCTTCAGAACTGGCAGGAAATGCTGCATTGCTGCTACCAATGGACTTCGTTCTTCTGGTTTCTTGTACCTACAGGTAGAAATACAAACTAATTCTGTTAGAATGTATTTCCATAACTGACAGATATAAACTACCTGCTTGTTCATACAGATAAGTAACTGTTTCTAATCAATTTAGCAAAAACAAAAACAAAAAACAACTTATTCTAGAATAAAAACAATAAACAAGCTTTTTGGCAAAATGAAGCCAAGTGAGGGAAGCTCCTGTCCCTCCCAAAGCTTAAGTCAAACCGCCAAGGCAGTGCTAAATGGAGTCCTCAGCCCGAAGATCCCTGTATCACCCAACTTCTGGCAGCCCAGATACGGTGACACAAGAGGCAATCAAAATACCCTCGTAAGAGCATGCCCAAGACAAGCTTCACCACGAGTCATCAAGTTCCCCCTGAGCCATGAAGAATGCAAAAGACAATGACAACTGTGTCCACTGTTGATGTCAATGTTAACAGGCACTAGATAAACAAGCTGACACTGATGTGGCCAAGTTGACATCCTGATCAGGCCTAACAGAAGAAGGTGTCTTATGTTCAACTGGCTCCTAATTATGTTTTGGATGTTGGGGAAAAAAAAAAAAAAAAACCTGGGATATTTACACTGAGTCTAACTGGCCAATTCTATCTGTATTTTTTTAAAACATTAAAAAATTTTAACAAAAAAGCTACAAGTAAAAACTTCAAGAAGTAGGATATCTACTATATACTCAACATTTATCATGTGATCAGTAATATCCAAGGCCCCCATTAGGATTATCACTTTGACAGCTAAAGGCAACTTTCCCCAGCTACACATGTAGGTACAAGCCCAAATGGTTGGGATCCAGGATCTGAGTCTGCTCCTGGTAGCTTTACTATGCAGTCTCTAATTGTGAAAGACACAAATAAGAAGCTAAAATAGAGAAGTCATTTAACAGCAGCAATGGATAAATAGAAATCTGCTTTGCATTACTAGGCTTAAGTGAGTCACATACTAGTACATTTTGTCTAAAAACATTAAAAACTGGGGCTGGAGAGATGGCTCAGCAGTCAAGATCTCACCGAAGACCCAGGTTCAGTTCCCAGCAACCACATGGATGCTAACAACAGTCTGTAACTCCAGTTTCAGGGGAGCTAAGACCCTCTTCTGCCCCCTACAGCCATTGCAAGCATGTGGTACACTTACATACATAAAGCCAAATACTCATAGACGTTAAATAAATAAATAAATAACAGAACTGTAACAGTCACTACTTCTCTGTTTTGGAATAAGTGATTAAATAGTTGCAATTATGATAGAAGATTACATTTTGATATATTGATGTATCTCCCCTTAAGTGGAAATATACATAAGAATTGATTGTCCTAATATAATTTCAGTTTAGACCTGGGCTAGGTTCCCAGCACCCACACTGCAGCTCATATCCATCTGTTACTCCAGTTCCAGATCCATACCCTCCTCTGGACACCGAGGGCACCAGACATGCACATGGTACATATACATGCATACATGGAGACAAACACTCATGGATTCCTAGGCCAGGTGTGGTGGTGCATGGTAGTGGACAGCTGTAATGTCTGTACTCCAAGGCTAAGGCAGAAGGATGAAGTAATCAATCTGAGACACATAGGGAGAAAATGACCAAAAAAACTCATATATTTTATCTTACAGTGTTTAAAAAAGGCAAATATAAAAAATACTGAGAGGACTGAGACAGCTGAACCTGCTTGCTGTGCAAGATGAGGACCTGAATTCATCATAAAAAGCCAGGCACAGACCTAAGCAAGATGAGGACCTGAATTCATCATAAAAAGCCAGGCACAGACCTAAATAAATAAATAAATAAATAAACTCATGGATTCCTAGGCCAGGTGTGGTGGTGCATGGTAGTGGACAGCTGTAATGTCTGTACTCCAAGGCTAAGGCAGAAGGATGAAGTAATCAATCTGAGACACATAGGGAGAAAATGACCAAAAAAACTCATATATTTTATCTTACAGTGTTTAAAAAAGGCAAATATAAAAAATACTGAGAGGACTGAGACAGCTGAACCTGCTTGCTGTGCAAGATGAGGACCTGAATTCATCATAAAAAGCCAGGCACAGACCTAAGCAAGATGAGGACCTGAATTCATCATAAAAAGCCAGGCACAGACCTAAATAAATAAATAAATAAATAAATACATACATACATACATACATACATAAATACCCTAGTTCTTCCTTGCCAGTCTAGCTGAGTCAGCACTCTTGCCTCAAAAAGTAATGTGAAGGCCCAGCAGATGGTTCAGCAGGAAAGAGTGCTTGTCACCAAATTTGATGACCTGAGCTCAGTCCCTGGAACCCACATGACGAAGAGAGAATGATTTCCACAAGCTGTTCTGTGATGTCCATGTGTACGTACACACATACCCTCTAAATAAATGTACAAAAAAAAAAAAGGATGGGGAATGAAGGCACCCAATGTCATCCTATCCTCTACACCCACACAAGTGGGAAAAATGAAATTAGACTACAATGCAACATGGCTATTAACTTTAAGCATTTTATCTAAAAGACTGAAAAATTATACCTAGCATACATCAAAGAAGATTATAAGCTGGTAAGATGGCTCAGTGGGTAAGAATACTTGTTGTGCAGGCCTGACAACCTGGGTTCCATCTGTGGGATCCAAGGTGGAAGGAGAGAAAAAAAGACTTAAAAATTGTCCTCTGACCTCTACACATAGGCTGTGACCCACATACATACGTACCGCACGCATTATTAATATTTTTCAAAAAAAACTCACCAGTCATAAAAGAAAGCCATGTAATAGGGGCTGGGGCGATGGCACAGTGCATAAGAGGGCTGGCTGCATAAGCATAAGCATGAGCATGAACAAGAGCAAGAGCAAGAGCAAGAGGATCTGAATTTGGACCCCAGCACCCACATAAAAAGAAAAAGGCAGAGGGGGCCTCACACACATATTCACAGGGCTGTGGAGCATGGAGAAAAGAGAAAAACGGGCTTTCTGAATGTCAGCTTAGCTCTAGGCTAAATGAGAGGCCCTGTCTAAAGGGAATAAGGTATACAGTGGTAGAGCAGGACACCAGAATTCCTTCTCCCCCTTCAGCATATGTGCACAGGCATGTGTACCTGTATGCTGAATACCAGGTACATAGCACGATGAGACAGACAGACAGACAGACACACAAACACACACACACACACATACACACACACACACACACACACACACAGAGAGAGAGAGAGAGAGAAAGCCATGTGAACTCTCCAGATTGACTACATACACTACAGACAAAATTTCCTCCTACTAGTAAAGGTGAGAACTATATTATGTGCCTTTGATCCATTTATCCAGCCCAAGTGGTTACCTATAGTTAACTGTCTAAAGACTCATTTCATGGTAGAATTTCTTTTCTCCATCTCACTAACTGCACTGAACAATAGACTAGAATTTGGTTAACACTAGTCAATCTAAACTAATGAAAATTAAAGCAATTTATGGTATTAAATGAAGTATTACTTAGTTGGGTGTGGTGACGCAGGCCTTTGCAGATCTCTGAGTTTGAGGCCACCCTGGTCTACACAGAGTTCCAGGCCAGCTGGGGCTACAGGGAGACCCTGTCTCAAAAAGACCAAAGGAAAAAAAATACAGTATTATGCTATAAGACCCAAAAGTTCCTGAAAGTGTGACAATAAAAAGCTTATTAACTGTATCAAATTGATAAAACATAAGAAATCCTAACTACAAGTCCATCACTTTTTTTAAAAAGCTAGTTTCCACAGGGAGTGGTGGTGCACACCTTTAATCCCAGCAGAGGCAGGTGGGTCTCTGTGAGTTCGATGCCAGCCTGGTCTACAGAGTGAGTTCCAGGACAGCTGTGAAAACCCTTTTAAAAAAAAAAAAAAAAAAAAAAAAAAAAAAAAAAAAAAAGCTAGTTTCCTAAATATCTTAAAAAAAAAAACCCCCAAAAAACACATCCAAATTTTCCAGTGTGCTAAAACAATTTAGTTGGTAGAGTACTTACAAACATGAGGACCTGGGCTTGAACCCCAGCATCATATAAACCAGGTATAGTGGTACCCAGTCCTCAGGAGGCAGAAGCAAGAGAATCAAAGTTGAAGATCATTGTCTACTACACATAGGGAATTCAAGGCCAGCCTGAGTTATAGACCCTGTCCCAATTTACCAGTCCCAAACCACTATCCCTAACATTGCACCACAAACTGTTCATACCATTAGTTGCTCTCCTTACTATCAGCTTCTCATTGCTGCCTCTGTACCTTCTTTCATGTTTGCTCACATTATTCAGTGAGGAGTGAGATACATCTTTGTCAAATGTTCCTTTTGTTCTCCTTCATAAATAAGCATTTCCTGGGGATCTATGCTTCTGAAGGCCATCAAATTCTAATTTCTTCATCAATTTTCACAGAATTGCTTCAAGGCACACAGATCCCTTGTAAGTACCTTGTGCTCCACAAACACTGATTGAAAATAAACAGAAATTCCAATATTGTAGTAACCTCTCTCATTTAAAATCCATCACATTCTCTCCTGCTAAGATTCTAAGAGAGACGTGAGCCTCCTCAATGACACTGCCAACTTACTGTTATTCTTATTCTCTCTGGGTTTCGTCACTCACTTACCAGAACTATAAATGGCACTCTGACAGAAGCTGGAGGAACAGCTGGAACATTCCTTAGCAGGAAGATGGGTAGCTGGTGGGGACACAAGAAAACACCAGTACCAAGGCTGTAAATGGTGTATTTCTCTCCTACTCAGAACAGCACCAGTTCTTTGAAATAGGATGCTGAAAGGGTATCGGAGGCAAACTCCAAATCCCAGAACTAGAGGGCTCATAGCAGCATCTGTCTAGCTGTTAGGAATGAGGTCAAGGCACTACTATAGTATTAGTCCTCCTTTTGATCTCCTTCTAATTTTTCCATACCAAACTTACATGTGCCTACCAATTTCAGTACTTCCATGGCATGCCTGAACAAAACCTCTTCACCACAGGGCCCACTACTCTTAATACTATATTCTTCAACTTCCAAGTCTAGATTTTTTTTCTTGCTTATCCTAGGCTCCAAATCTAAAATAATTCTTTGGCTTAAAATCTTTCTTACTGATGAATTATATGAACCATAATTCATTCAAATATGCAAGAAATTAAGTAGGTGAATGTGAATCTCTCAAATACATTGATTAAAAAAAACCATGATGGCACATGTCTATATCTTAGGAGGTAGATGAAGGAGGATCAGGAGCAGGAGGATCAGCAGTTCAAGGTCATCCTTGGCTACACAGTGGGTTCAAGGTCAGTCTGGGATACATGAGATCTTATGTCAAAACAATAAAAATAAAAAATTCCAACATGGTGCTGGAGAGATGGCTCAGCCGTTAAAAGCACTGGCTCTTGCAAAGGACCCAGGTTCAAATCCCAGCACTCACATAGTGGCTAACAACTGTCCTTAACTCAAGTTCCAGGAGATTCAACACTCTCTTCTGGCCTCTCGACCACTGCATGACACGGGTGCAACTCATACACTCAGGCAATGCACTCATACACATAAATAAATTCCAAAATATTCCAACACATTCCTCAAAGTATTAGAAAGTTGCTTCATGAAGTTTATCAAAATCCAAATGAAGGTGGACATTTATATAAGACAGAATAAAGTGTTCTATTACTTAATGTATTCTAATTATCCTCTCTCTGTCTCTCTCTCACACACACACACATACACACACACAAATCCTTCTTCAAAGGCATGTTTTCAGTAGGTTCTAGGGAATCCCAACTTTAAAGATACTTTTTGAAAAGCTAAAGACACAATAATTAAGAGGAGGATGGGGACCAAAAGGGTGAAGCACAGGAGTTTCTCAGTAGAATCAACAGAAGAAATTGCAGGACAAGAATAAGAATCTTGGGTCTGAGGGTTGGCTTGGCAGGTGGGTGTGTCTGCCATTAACTAAGTCAGGACCCAGATTCCGGGGAACCTTTTTGGTAGGAGGAAGAGTTCTGACTTTCCCAGCTTGTCATCTGGTCTTCACTTGAGTGCTGTGTTGCTCACACACAAGATAGTAAGTGCAATAAAAAAGAAAAAAGTATTAGCATATAGTTAACTAAATTTCTTACTTATCCCAAATGTAATTTCACAAGTTCAAATTTGCTTTAATTTTCACAATTATTCAAAAAAAAGTCCATAGGAATTAGGAGGGACACTTACTCATAATTTTTCACAAGCTGATAAAGGCAAAGAAGAATTCCCAGCCAACAAGCACTGTTATCAGACTGAAGATAAAAGCCAATCTTGTCCACAATGGCAGTCCAGCGGCTTGGATAGTCATGCTTGATGATATGATGAATGCATGTAGTAAGCTGTACCCTGAAAGTCAAATATCAACAGTAAGGAAAAAGAAACATTAACATGTCACGAACTCTAAGGAAAATTTCAAAAAAATCTATTTGGTATCTGAATTCACATAAAATGAAGATAATTCAAAACAACTCACCCAGCAACAACTACCTCTTCTTACCAATTTAAAAGAAACCTAACAGTAAGCCAAAATTGACTGCACATACATATAATCCCAGCAAGAGGTAGCAACTGCAAGATCATGAAATGTAGTCAAGGATAGCCTGACGTACATAACAATACCTAGTCAAAACAAACCAACACAGCCCAAAAAAAACACATTTTTTTTTTCATTGTAGAAACAATCATGTTTAAGAACATCAACTGTATATTCATTAAAATACAGGCATGGAGGGATTAGAGAGATGGTTCAGCAGTTAAAAGCACTTGCTGCTCTTGCAGAGGACCAAATTTTGGTTTTCGGTACCACATGGCAGCTCACACAACCACCTGTAACTCTGGCACCAGAGGACAGAAACTCTTCTGGCCTCCACAGACACTGCACACAAGTAGTAAACATATACAAGCAGGCAAACACATATAAAAAAATGTCAAAATTGAGCCAGGTGCAAGCAGATCTGAGATTGAGGCCATCCTGATCTATACAGTGAGTTCCAGGCCAGCTGCGGCTACAGGGAGACCCTGTTTCAAAAGGAGAAGAAAAAAAATAAATAAAAAATAAAAATTTTTAAAGAAACAGGCATGGTGGCTCATATTAACTACTCAAGAGGTTGAAGCATGAGAACTGCCGAGAGTTCAAGGCTATCCTTGACTACCTAGCAAGCACCAGGCCAATCATGACTACTAATAAGACCCTGTACCAAAAAAACAAAGAGTACAGGGATGGAAAGATGACTCTGTCAGTAAAGGGCCTGCTGTGCAAGCAAGCACAGAGGACCTGAGTTTGAACCTCCAGAACCCATGAAAAAAGTCAGGTGCCACAGTGGACATCTGCAATCTCAGTGCTAGGGAGGTGGAGACAGCTTGCTGCCTAGCCAATCTAGTCAAGGCAGTGAGCTCCAGATTCAGTAAGAGACTATCTCAAAAAGTAAGGTAGAAAGGCAACATCATCTTCTGGCCTTCACACATTCATGTACATATATGCAGGATCACCAACACACACAATTTAAAAACAATAAATTTCCAAAATTCTTTTTTAAAAATATTTATTATTTTTATTTTATGTGTATGAGTGTACTGCCTGCATGTATGTGAGTGCAACCATGTCATGCAATGCCACAGTTCAGAAGAGGGCTTCGGATCCCCCTGGAACTGGAGTTAAGGACGGTTCATAGCCACCATGTGGGTGCTGGGAATAGAACCCAGGTCCTCTGTAAGAGCAGTCAACACTCTTAACTACTGGGCCATCTCTCCAGCCCTGAATTTGCAAAATTCTTTAAAAACAGCTGGGCATGGAGGCACTCTGGAGGCAGAGGCAGACAGATCTCTATAAAATTAAGGCCAGTTGGAGTCCTTGTCTCAAAAACACCAAAAACATAAACAAAATACTCCACAAAAAAACAGTAGGTTAGGCCAGGCATGGTGGCGCACGCCTTTAATCCCAGCACTTGGGAGGCAGAGGCAGGCAGATCTCTGTCAGTTCAAGGCCAGTCTGGTCTACATAGTACATTCCAGGTCAGCTGGGGCTACAGGGAAACCCTGTCTTCCCAGAGTGGAAGAAAACGTTCACCAGCTACACATCTGACAGACAGTTAATAAAAAAAAAAAAAAACCAAAACCAAAAACCAAAAACCAAAAACAAACCCAGTAGGTAGTATGTTCTGAAAAGGAAGCTAAAAATCCATACACATGCACAAAGTGTCTATGACACTGTTTAATTTTAATATACATACCTGATGAGCTCAGGTGAATGGATAATGGCTTCTACAATATTTTCTCGAATGCAATGTCGATCTTCTTCTGGAATAGTGTATGGGGATATATCCCCTGGTGTGGCTTCACGATCAGGCCAATACTGTGTTATCATATTTTTCAAATAAATAACACCTAAAATATAGATCAGTTTCATAAGAGTGCTTACTGTAGAAGCTGTGAGACTATCCCTTGTATCATTATAAGGAAGGGTACCCTTTTGTAAACAAAGTCAATTATTTCAAGTCAATAATCAAAACAAGATTTCAGCATTCAATTGCAGGCATCACCCACAAAATTATTAAATACATGGCCTAAGAGAATCCAGCAAGTAAAAATACTGTATCAAGGCCGGGAGTGGTGGCGCACACCTTTCATCCCAACACTTGGGAGGCAGAGTCAGGCGGATCTTTGTGAGTTTGAGGCCAGCCTGGTCTACATAGCGAGTTCCAGGACAGCTGGGGCTACAAGGAGACCCTGTCTCAAAAAGAAAAAAAAAAAAAAAAAAAGCCTATATCAAAGCTGGGCTTGGTGTCACACACCTTTAGTCCCGGCACTGGGGAGGCAGAGGCAGGGGAATCTCTGTAAGTTCAAGGCCAGCCTGGTCTACACAGTAAGTTCCATGACAGCTGGTGCTACAAAAACAACAACAACAAAAAACCTATATCAAAATTGTTTTGAAAGTGGTGCAAACCTTCAATCCCAGCACTCAGGAGAGGCAGAGGCAGACAGGCAGATCTCTGAGTAAATCCCTAATGACCAAACCATCACAAACAAATACAACTCTGCCAACTAACCACATGATGGTGATAAAATCTTGATCAGAGGGGGCTGGAGAGATGGCTCAGTGGTTCAGAACACCTGCTGTTCTTGCAGAAGACTCAGGTTCAAATCCCAACACTCACATGGCAGCTAACAACTGCCCGAAACTCCAGTTCCAGGGGATCCGACGCCAACTTCTGGCCTCCTCAGGCATTGCATGACACAGATGCGCTTATACACATGCAGGCAATATACTCAGACACACACAAAATAAATAAATTAAAAAAAAATTTTTTTGTTGTTGTTTGGTCTTTTTGAGACAGGGCTCCCTGTAGCCCCAGCTGTCCTGAAACTCACTATGTAGACCAGGCTGGCCTTGAACTCACAGAGATCCGCCTGCCTCTGCCTCCCAAGTGCTGGGATTAAAGATGTGCGCTACCATGCCTGGCTAAAGTATTTTTTCTTAAATCTTGATCATAGGGGCTAGAGAGATGGCTCAGCAGTTAAGAGCACTGACTGCTCTTAGAGAGGACCCAGGTTCGATTCCCAGCACCCACATGGAGGCTACGAACAATCCTTAACTCCAGTTCCAGGGGCATCCAAAGCCCTCTTCTGACCTCAGAAGGGTGTACTCACATACATGCAGGCAACACACTCAAACACATAAAAATAATAAAATTTTTTTTAAAAAAGCTTAAGTATTTCAATCACATAGCACTTAAATTCATACTGTTTTATGGGAGAATGCACTGTGCTCAAAAATAATAGATCACTGCCTCCTGTCAGCCCTCACACTGCTAGCTCTCTGCACATGCTGATGCTGTGCTGAGCTCTAGATTGCTAACAAGGCGTATTATTCAGCCATCTGGGAAATGTAGATTACAAATGTAGAAGACACTGTCTCAAAAGATTAAAAAAAAAAGAGAGAAAAGAAAAAGAAGAAGAAAAAAGAACCATATGCCACACATTGGAATTTCAATTATTCTAGGAATATAATTTTTAAATTAATGATTATGTTTTCAATTTTCATAAACTCCATGGATAGTTGATCAGTTGGCCTATCCATATATCTGTCTGTCTATTAGAGTGCTGGTGATTCAACCTAGGGCCTGAGACTGGTAATGCAAGTGCTCTACTATCAAGGTGCATCCTGAGTCCTAATTTTATAGTTTAATAACTACCCATTAACTCCAGCTCCAGGGAGATCCAATGACTCTTGCTTCCAAGGGCACCTGTACTCACTTGTGTATATACCCACAGACATACACACATACTTGTAATTAAGAATAAAAATAGGCCAGGCGTGGAAGTGCAGGCCTTTAATCCCAGCACTTGGAAGACAAAAGCAGGAGGATCTCTGTGAGATGGAGAACAGCCTGGTCTACACTTCGAGTTCCAGTCCTACGGGAGCTACAGGGAGACCCTGTCTTAAAAATACCAAAACAATTTTTTAAATTTTTAATTAAAAATTAAATAAAAATAGATCTTCTTAAAAATCATAAATACAGCATGTCAAACAGTATTTTAGCTCCTGAGAATACTAATTTCTAACAATGGAGAAACAGTTTGTTGTACAGGACACATTATAAATCATTTTAATCATTAAAATATGAATTCAGGAGCCAGGTCTTGCACACAGCCTTGTCCAGCTACTCAGAAGGCTGAGGCAGGAGGATCAAAAGTTCAAGGCCAGCCTAGGCTACAAAATCAGTTTAAGACCAAATGAGGCAATTTAACAACACTGTATCTCAAAATAAAAGTTTTAAAAGAGGGATAGAGATATAACTCAGTGTTATTAATTCAACACCTAATATCAAATAAATAAATGAAAATAAATTTGAACACTAAAAACTGGAAATATTTAGTAAGATTTAGGTGAGAGCAAAAAATTTATCAAGACAGGCACTGAGAAAAAGGGCAAAAATAAAATGCAATGATTTTCCAGAACAGTGACATCATTGGTACATTTCCTATGCCAAAACAGATACAACCACAACTAGGTAAGAAATTAAAACTGAATTCCATTATATTATAGATCAGTAACATTCTGAAGTTGTAAGTAAGAAGTAGAACTTTCTGAATTGTAAAAGCTAAAAAGCATAAGGAATAACTAAAAGCAAAGACGTCTGGGTCTGAGAATAACCCATAAGGCAAGAACAATGAGAATACACTTACTCTTTTAACAGCACTGGCTGCTCTTGCAGCGGACCTGAGTTCAATTCCCAGCACCCATATGGTGGCTAACAACATATGTCTCTCAAGTTCCAGGAGAGCTGATGCCCTCTTCTGGTCTCCATGGACAATGAGTAACATGAGTGCATTTACATACATAAGGACAAAACACTAATACACAGAAACTAAAAATAAATTAAAAATTTAACAGAAATCCTGTCAATTTTTTGGTAGCTTCTATTATGACTTATTTGTGTGTATGTTTGTACACATGTCTGTGCAGATGCCCACAGAAGTCAGAAGGGGGGGCATCAAATTCCTTGGAGCTATAGTTACAGGCATTTTGTGAACTGCCTAATGTGGGTGGCTGGATCTGAACTCCAGCCCTCAGATAAAACAGGCAAGTAGTTTCTCTTTTAACTCAACTAAATAACCTAATCATTTCTTTAAACTCTACCACCAAATACCAAGATATTTTTTTGTTGCTAAAAACACCAAAAGCAAATAGATTCTAGAAGAAAAAAATTACTAAAGGACCATCCCAAGCTATTTCTGCTATTTAATTTACAAACCTTTTAAACAATATATTTATATACATTCAAGAAAATAATTCAAGAAACTTGCCTGCCTGTCTCACAGGTAGATCCAGTTGTTCTGACATAGTAATCTGGAGCAGTGTTGAAACAAAATTCAGAGACTTGTGTGCCTACAAACAAGCAAATATATGTTAAATTCTTGTAGATAAATATACTGTTAGAGGCAAGCTCTCACTATATAGCCCAGGCTAGACTTGATATTTCACCATCTCCCTGCCCCAGGCTTCCCAATGCTGGAATTATAGGTGTGTATCACCAAAGTTTTAATGTTTACTTAGTGCTGTTCATACCAATTGTAAAATCAAGACCAGCCTAATCTACATAATGAGTTCCAGACCAGCTGTGGCTAAAAGGAGACCCTGTCTCAGAGAACAAAAAATTGGCTGTATCATGCCATAATAATTCTCTATTATAGCTGATACCTACAATGTTAGTTCTCAGGAGGCTGAGGCTAGCCTAAGCTACAGATGAAGTTCAGCTCAGCCTAAGCTATAGAGTGAAACCTAGTCTCAAACAACAACAACAAAAAAAAATCCACAATGGGCTGATTATTTGCTTTAACAAAGCCCTTAGTTTGATCTCCAGAATCACATAAAGTAGGTGTGGTGATGTATGCCGTAATCCCAGAACTCAGCAGGTAGAGGTAAGAAAATGAGGAACTAAGGTCACCCTCAGCTATACACTGAATTGGAGACTAGCTTAGGCTACATAAGATCCTTTTTTTTTTTTTTTGGTCTTTTTGAGACAGGGTCTCCCTGTATTCCCAGCTGTCCTAGAACTCACTATGTACCAGCTGTCCTAGAACTCACTATGTAGACCAGGCTGGCCTTGAACTTACAAAGATCCGCCTGCCTCTGCCTCCCTAGCACTGGGATTGAAGGTGTGCACCACCACGCCTGGCAAGATCCAGTCTTTAAAAAAAAAAGAAAGAAAGAAAAGAAAAAAACTGCAAAACAGGAACAGAAAAACCTTATGAATAAGAACCTTTTTTTGTTTTTGGTTTTTTTGAACCGGTCTCATTGCACAGCAGTGGCTGGCCTGTAGATTCACACACAGATACACCTGCCTCTGCCTCCCCAGTTTTGGCTTTAAAATTGTGCATCTGGTCTACATAGTGAGTCAGCTGGGGCTACAAGAAAAATCTCTCTAAATAAATAAAAATAGATAAGATAAAACAGATAAAGACATACTAGGGAGGAAAGTTTTTTCACTACTTCTGATATTCACAAATATAGCAAATTAATCTTTAAAGGAACCCTCAAAGCCAAGAGCTGTGACTAACACCTGCTCTACGAGCCCTTGGGAGGTGGAGGATCAAAAGTTCAAGGCAGCTTTAGCTAAGGGCAAATTGAAGATCAGCCTGGGTTACATGAGATTTGTCTTCCAAAGGATCTGGGTTCGGTTTTTGGCACCCACATGTCAACTAACTCTTCTGGCATCCAAGGTCACTGATCCCACTGGTGCACTAACATACATATAAGCAGAACACTCACATGCACAAAATAAAAATAAACAAATCAAGCCAGGCGTGGTGGCGCACACCTTTAATCCCAGCACTTGGGAGGCAGAGGCAGGCAGATCTCTGTGAGTTCAAGGCCAGACTGTTGTTCTACATGTTCCAGGACAGCTGGGGCTACAGAGACCCTGTCCCAAAAAGACCAAAAAAAAAAAAAAAAAAAAAGTAAGTTTCTTTAGTAAAGCAAAGTAAGCCCTCCAAAGAGATTGGAATGGGCCATTCCAAAAAAGGGCAGCAGCCTACAATGTCTTCTTGATGAATCAAAGTTTAAATGTCGCTTCTAGATGATGGCACGGACTATAGTATAGGCCTTGTCCCGTTCAGGTATTAATTAGGACATATACATATAAAACTTTTAATATTCAAGTTTAAAAGCTGATAATGGGTTGGTGAGATGGTTTAATGGTTGCCATGCAAACCTAATCTGGGCTTAATCCTCTGCACACACACACCCACACACAGTCACAGTAATAAAAAATTAAAATAAGGCTGCTAGTTATTACACAAAGCACCTTTTCTAATCAATTCTATACCTTCTCATTATCTGTCATCAATCCAAGTTTTCCATTCACTCTTAAACCATCTCATTAAAATTCATCAGTCTCTGGATCTGGAGATGGCTCAGTGTTTAAGAGCACTAGCTGTTCTTGCAGAAGACTAGGGGTTCAAATCCCAGCACCCACATTACGGCTAACAACCATCTGTAACTCCACCTCCGGGAGATTAGAAGCCCTCTTCCGTCCACTGAGGGCACTGCACAACACAGATGTACTTATATACAGGCAGGCAATACACTCATACATACAAAATGTTTTTTTTTTTTAATTCTTAGGCCTGGTGTGGTGGCGCACACCTTTGATCCCAGCACTTGGGAGGCAGAGGCAGATGGATCTCTGTGATTTCATAGCAAGTTCCAGGTCAGCTGGGGCTACAGGGAGACCTTGCCTCAAAGACCAAAAAAAAAAATCTTTTAATTTAAAATTCAATCAGTCCTAGGGGCTGGAGAGATGGCTCGGCATGTTAAGAACACTGGTTGTTCCGGCAGAAGACCCTGGTTTGAATCCCAGCACCCACGTGGCAGCTAATAACTGCCCGCAACTCTAGTCCCAAGGGATCTGACAGCCTCTTCTGACCTCCGAGGGTGTTGCATGACACAAGTGCACTTACCTACATGCAGGCAATACATGCATACACATAAAATAATTAAAATAGGTATGGGCCCTAGCTGGCCCGGGGGCAGGCCCTGCATAGTAAAAAATAAATAAATAAAATAAAATTTTAAAAAATTCAATCAGTCCCAATTCCATTCTCTACATTTTTTTGTTTTTTGAGACAGGATATCCCTGTAGCCCAAGCTGAGTACTATGTAAACCAGGTTGGCCTCAAATTCAGAATGGCCTCTGATCATCATTCCTGGCTTCTGTACCTCCTTTTAAAAACAGATCTAGGGGCTGCAGAGATGACTCAGAAATTAAGAGTGCCTACTATTCTTGCACACCTGTGCACACACATATAATTTAAAATATAAATCGATTTCTTTAAAAATGCCAAGTCTGGACCTTTGGGTTGGGCTATCATTTGTCCCCTCCACACCCCAGTATTTTTTCCTGGTGTTACAATACCAGGTATTAAATCAGCTCATGCCATTTTCTATTTTGTTTTGTTTTTGGTATTTTTGAGACAGGGTCTCCCTGTAGCTCCATCTGTCCTGGAACTCACTATGTAGACCAGGCTGGCCTGGAACTCACAGAGATCTGCCTGCCTCTGCCTCACGAGTGCTGGGATTAAAGGCATGCACCACCACACCTGGCTAAATATTGATTTTTATATTATGCATGAGTGTTCTGCCTGCATAGAAATGTACCGAGTTTTACAGTGTCCTCAGATGCCAGAAGGGAGGATCAGATCCCCCAAACCTGGAGTTACAGTTAGTTGTAAGCCACCATGTGTAGTGCTGGTAACCAAACCCAGTTCTTCTGCAAGAGCAGCAAATGTTGAGCCATCTCTCCAGCCTTCTCCACCTTAACATTTTACTCCTTAATATAGAGAAAAAGGACAGTTTTACAGTCATGTTGAACCACTGACTGTAACAGGATAAACTACTAAAACTTCAACTCAGAAATGAGAAGATTTTAAAAAGCTGAAGTATGGGTCAAAAAGAGATTATTAGGATCTAATAATATGAACATCTGCCTAGCAAACATATGGTCAGGACTGTACTATAGGAGATGAGCTCCTGAGGCTGTATGAAGGATGTAATTCAAGGACTGATGATTATAAAGGATGATGAAGAAAACCATTATGACAACAGGCAGTAGTGATAGTCCTGCCAAACCAATCTTGCCTTCAGGTTGCTTACCCACAGCTTACTCTGTATCCTATAAAAAAAGTATATTTTACAGATGAAAAAAAAGAGAGAAACCAGCATACCCAACACTGGACATGATGGCCCAAAGGCTATAATCCCTACACCTGGGAGGTGGAGGCTGAAGTTTAAATCAAAAGCCAGCCTGAGATACACTGAAACCTTGTCCTGTACAAAAACCCAGGTGTGGTGGCAGGTGCCTGTAATTCTGGTGTTGGTAAGAGGAGAGAGGAGAATCCTGGAGGTTCCCTGGACAGCTACTTTAGGCAATCAGTGAGTGCTAGGTTTAGAGAGAAACCTTGTTACAAAATATATGCGTGGACACACTTGTTTACCCACACAACCACACACAAAAGTAGCAAAAAAAAAAAAAAATCCTCCATCAACAAATTTCCCTGTTCCTGCTATCCTATTACCCTACAATTTACAATTGTATCCTATTCCCTTACTGCCCTTACTGGCATTATATTCACTAACCCTATAATAAGAAATTACTTTCAGGGCTGGAGATGGCCCAGGGGTTAAAAGCTTACTGCTCTTCCAGAAGACCCAAGTTCATTCAGTTTCCAGCATCCATGTTAGGCAGCTTACAGTCAACTGTAGGGGGACCAGCTCTAGGGATCCCATGCCTCTGGTCTCAGGCACCTGTGCTCACATGCACAAAAAAAAATTTTTTTTTTTTGGTCTTTTTGAGACAAGGTTTCCCTGTAGCCACAGCTGTCCTGGAACTCACTATGTAGACCAGGATGGCCTTAAACTCACAGAGATCTGCCTGCCTCTGCCTCCAGAGTACTGGGATTAAAGGCATACGCCACCATACCCGGCGATTATTTTTATTTTATGTGTATTCCTGTTATTGCCTGCAAGTAGGTAAGTGCACTCATATAGTGCAATGCTGGCGGAGGTCAGAAGAGGCTGTGGGATACCCTGGGACTGGAGTTACCAACAGTTGTTAGCTGCCATGTGGGTGCTGGGATTCAAACCCAGATCTTCTGCAAGAACAACCAGTGTTCTTAACTGCTGAGCCACCTCTCCAGTCCCAAGCCAAGAAACTTCTAACCTTTCCATTTTCCTAAATAATCTGGCAAAGTCGGCTTCTATATGACTTTGAGAAATATGAACCACAGTGAGGTCAAATATTTAATCACTACAGTGACAGAATCAAGACCAGGTTGAGCCTTGCAACGGTACTCCTCTTGCCTTCATCAAATAATGGCAACATACACATC